CGGTTTGTGGCCAGCCTACATCCTGTAGCCACTTCTCTGCGAATACACGCTTTGTTTGAGCAGGTTCAGTCTGACGTTTTTTGGGCGGGGGTGGAGTACCAAAGTAACTACTCAACGTGGCTTGCTTCTTCGACATTTTTTTCTTACCAGTTCATATGCAACTTGCAAATTATCTTTCTGTCTCTCCTCTTTTCTCTCTCCTCCCTTCTCTCTCCTCTCTTTTCTCTTCTCTCTCCTCCCTTCTCTCTCCTCTCTTTTCTCCCTTCTCTCTCCTCTCTTTTCTCTTCTCCCTTCTCTCTCTTCTCTCTCCTCTCTTTTCTCTCTCCCCTCTTTTCTCTTCTCTCTCCTCCCTTCTCTCTCCTCTCTTTTCTCTCTCCTCTCTTTTCTCTTCTCCCTTCTCTCTTCTCTCTCTCAATGTTGGTACGCAAATGCGCCTTTTTTCAAATGACCCGGTGCGCATGCGCACCTGCACACCAGTTATGTGCAGCCCTGAACCATAGACAGTATTCGGAATAAACTCTTACCTCCAAGTGGGGGTCCAGAGAGCCCAGCAAAGCTCTGTATGAACAGGTAGATCCCGGCAGCCGAGGACATCCTCTCTATTCCCACCACATCGTCCTCAGCCAGCATCGGGATGTGTGTGCAGGCTACCGTTCCCATAAAGAACCCGTAGAAAGCGCAGCAGACCGCCAGGCCGTAGAACTCCGTCACCAGAGTGAATCCCACCAGATCCACGGTCATGGTGATCACACACACCAGCAGGACGAGCAGCTTCCTTTTCCTGAACCTTTCTCGTGACAGGATCCACCCGATGGAGAACCGCCCGAATATCTCTGTCACGGCCATGATGGAGAGCATGTACGTGGCGTGACTCCGCTCCACGCCTCGACTCACGCTCAGATCGATGATGTATAAAGGGGGCGCGAAGAAACCAAGCGTGGCGAACAGTCCAAACATAGAGTAGAGAATGAAGCTGCACTCTCTGAGGATGGAGAAATCTATCAGCTTTGATTTCTTTGTGGACGTTTTTCCATCACCTGATTTCATTTCCTCCACTTGCATGATTTGTTTCTCTGCATCTTCGCTCCGTTTCTCCACAGATTCAAATTGACTAGTCTTTGCTTTACCGTTTTCCGCAGATTTCTTGGCTTCTTTGTGCAGTAACGTCTTCTCAGCTTGGCTGCTGTCGTACGTTTCCTTTACGGACTGGACTCCAGAGTCTCCTGTGCTCACAGAGGTTTGGCTGAGCTCATGGTCCGCACTGTGGGAGGTATTCTGTGCATTTGAGGTAGTTGAGTCCTGTGGGTTTATATCCTCTACATTCACCGGTGAACCGAAGGGTTCCAGCTCCTTTGGGGACGATCCTTCAGCTTCTGTCTCACAGGTCACTTTGGGTTTGATGACGATTGGCCGAAGCAGGACTCCACAGATGATGATGGTGCTCTGCAGAGCTCCTATCACTAACATGGTGTGCCTCCAGCCGATACGGTCCCTCAACGCAGAAAAGGCTGAGGAAGAGGAGGTATTTAGTGATTGGTGCACTTGATTGTAAATATAACGGTTCTGTTCTACATTTAAAAGGTAAAAGAAAGTGTATTTGTAGGATAAAACCATGAGATTATCTCGATTTAAAGGGTGTCCTTAACACAAAACTACAGATGATAGAGTACAGCATAAAAAACAACAACACAGAAAGCAAAGCAATTTCTCTCGACAAGTCAATACAAAAAACGATTTGTTGGCAGTATCTGTGGCTCTTTGTCAATCGTTCCCACCAAAGGTGTGATTTTTTTTTTTTAAACGAGAAGAAAATGTAACATTTTTATTTTACAAATAGGTGTAACATTAGCCTATAACAGCTGAGCCCTTTGGTGTGTATCAAAGATTACACACAAAGGAATGCATAATTGATTTTAGGGACTATTTTTAGCCACACTCCAGTAGGCAGCAGAGTGTTGTTTGAAATAAGCTGCAGAGCTCGGGGCATGTTGAGGAGAAACATGTCAGTGCAAGCGTGGCTACTGATGTGTTTCTAATATATTTTCTTACAACAACTCTACTAATACTTGTTGTAAGATCCATTATTGGTTGGTTTTTACTTTTCTTGATAAATACTGAAGACATTTCTTAGTCTTCCTTGAGTTTACTGTCCCTAAATGAGTTGTACAAGCTGACCTGGTGCGAGGGCGAACATAGACAGCGACTCTCCGGTGGAAGCTACAGCTGTGACCAGAGACCGCCGCCGCGTAAAATACTGTGAGAGGATGGTCACTGTGGGGAGGAAGGTCAGACTGTAGCCCAGTCCTGGAAAGTGGAAATAACGCAAGTTTATTAAATGGTTATTGATACAGACACAATTCTACAAAACCTATTCAAAGACTCAAATAATGATGTGATGATATAGGGTAGAAGAAAGCATGTCATTACCTGCTACCAATCCATATGTGATGTATATTTGATTGATGGAGCTGGTAAAGCTGGTTGCGATGGTACCGGTGGCGATAAGTAAACCTCCGATCATAACAACAGGCTGGAACCCACAGCGGCTCGTCAACACGGAGGAAAGAGGACCTGAAGAGAACATACGTTGTTAACTGAGGGACTATAACACAGTCATTCTCACAACTTATTTCAATGCATAGGCTGTGTTTTACTTCCTATAACTTCATCAGCTGGGCTCACCATTGAAGGTCATGACAAAAATGCAGATGGAAATAATCCAGGAGACTCGACTGTTGGTCTCGCCGAACTCCTCCATGATGTCCTGGAGGAAGATGCCGAAGATCTTGATGGTGCCGTAGGTGAAAGCTTCCACCACGAAGAAGGCGATGGCCACCATCCACCCCCAGCCTCCATCTGGGGCTTCTGGGTACACATTGGGCCCCAGGAATCGCCTCATCTTGACTCCACAAAGTGCCATGCCCTGGGAAGGGAAATGGGAGACTGGCAATAATTCTATTTTTATCATTCTGTCACTGTGTTTTCCCTCCTGTTTGATTACCTCGTGCCTTTGCCTTCCCTCCCCAGCTATGTCTTGTCTTTGTGATCTTGTATGTTCTTGTGTTCTTTGTCAGATCGTTATCTTTGTTCCTGTCCAGGCCTGATGTTTGGTGTATTTCGTCTCTGTCTGATTCCCAGTATTCCTGTTTCGTCCCCTTGTTTTTGTGTTAAACTGTTTTCAGCTTTTTTAATAGCTAGATTTTTGGTTATCAATTCCTCACTCCCTCTTTCCAACCTCCAGTCCAGACCCTGACAGTATCGTCATGTTTGATTGCTCAAATTGTAACTTGCTTTGGATAAGAGCATCAGCTAAATGCAACGTAATGAAAAATATTATCACTGTTTATCCCAAATATATGTATTCAATACCACTGCAGTCTGTGTTCCTCTTCACATCGAATATGACGCTGCTCATAGTCTCCAGTTACAGAAATGAGCTGATGAATGGCAGTAAATACGATGCTAATTCTGATCTATGAACTATGGCAGCTTACCTTTTACACAAAGTGGTTCTATGCATCTGAACCAGACTACAAACACGGGCAGGGCTGTGGTGCATCATCTTTTTTGCACAAGGCTGGGCATGATCAATGATTAATGCAAAAGCACTTCGGTTGTTATCAATAATACAGTTTTAGACCTATTGACCCTGGGTAAAACATGATAATATTGTGTGCCCTATGGTAGTAAAATATAGCATAACCTTGTTTGCATTTTATCTCCATTTCTTTCTTTTTTTTCTTTACACTGTATCAAATAAGCTGGATGACTCAAACTCTCTCCTTTTCTGATTTTACTTTTACTTCTTACTTTTGTACAATTGATGTTTCTTAACTGTATACTCACACAGCTTTGACATAGATAGGATAATACAAAAAAAAAAATCCGCCGTTAAGTCAAAGTGCAGATCATGGCACCTTTCACACAATAATACCATGCAACTAATCACATTTGGCCTAGTTTCACTGTTTCCCATGCAATACTATTTCGGGTAATCAATCAATCATTTACAGACTAAAAACATGAATACTTGTCTTATTATGCTTAAAGTTTCCAAGGCTGCTGTACCTTTTTTCTTCATTAATGGTGAGTAAATGGTGAACTAACATACCTTCAATACCAGTTATACCTGCTCACACCCATAAACATGACAATTATGAAATAGAACAGCTATTAACCACCTGTTTACTACAGCAAATAAAAATGCTCCAAAACAAGCACATTATCCGATAATTCGATCACTAATTTCAATGTACTGTAACACACAATTGTTATATCTATATCTGAGATATAACAATTATATTAAAGAATTAGAAAAAAAATCCACAAATATTTATAGTACAGCGTGAATATTTACTTTGGCAGCTGAAATATCTGGAAAAAGTTGAAGAACCTTGACTTTTGTTTAGTTCACCAAAACTACTATATCCAGGGTCCATCCTACATTCTCTGGTTAAATAACAGCCGTAATAGTAATAGGATTATCTTTACAGTTGATTTGATCTTTTTTTCAACTTTAATTCAGTGGGTGTATTTACTTTTTCAAGGTGCTGGATAATCAAAGACTGATTGTTTCTGTGTATCCAAAACAAACAAAAGTTCTTCCACAAATCTTATTATATAGGCTACAATCAAATATACTTTAAAATCTTATCCAAATAGTAATACAAAATTGTCTACATATCAATTTCATAAAGCTAAAAAAAAATTCACTTTGTTGATTTTCAAAAATATATTATTGTACAAATTATTTAAAAACACACAACCCACCGTTGATTTGACTGTTAAACAAAATTATTTTCTAAACATGATGTATTATTTTGACGTTTTTAATGAAGGGTGGAGGGGGGGTAGTATTGACTTTATGCCCCCGGCATGTGTTCCCTTCTTGCGTCTGACGCAACGCCCTCAGCCGGCTCATGTGCTCCGAAGACAACGTGACTTTAAAAGCCGCAAAAACACCGTGTAAGTACTGAAATCTCGCCGGTTTGAGGCTTATAATTAATTAAATATACAGTTCATTTCACTCAATCAAACATATTATGAAATAATTTGTGTTTTAGCCGCTCTCACCTGTGTGTTGCTAGTCTCTTCCTTCCTTAGTAATCCGCAACGTGTCCCAATTAAATGACCAACTGAACTTTCTTACTCATATTTCACATGCTTTTGTCCGCATACACGCGTTTGTCCGCATACACGCGCACCAACACGCTGTGATACACTCTCATGAAGTGAACACACTCCCTGTGTGAGACCGGGACGAGTGCGGGTGTAAGTAGGGTTAAAGAGATCTGGTTGAAGCCAGTTTTCTACACACATCTCTGCAGATACCCTCCTCCTATAGTTTTAACGGTAGAGGGCAGAGTTGTTTGGTTTGGGTTCATGTTCGACTGTGTTTTGAGCAACACAACCTTCCCTCAAACTGTGGCGACACTGTCTGACTGATGAGAATACTACACTAATAGCTCCTTTATGAACTCCTTGATTACATCCTTTAATTTTTAATCTAGTTGTTCTCAACCATAAATGCTCATATTGTCTGTCATTGGAAGAGTGGTAAGGAATATGTTGTGTCTGTAACTGAAAGAAACATTTGGCTGAAAAGTGATTTTTCTTAGCATCAGTGTTTGAAAGTACAGTACAGTTAATTTTATTATTAATTAATTTTATTGTGAACTTCTTCTCAATTCAATTTTACACTGTAGTATGCACAATAGATACAGTGTAGTTTTGGCAATTTCCTCTTTCAGTCTCAGGCTCCTCCAACAGTGCAACATACAATAAGTCATACAATTAAAATATCTAGTACAGGGACAGAATTGTGCAAAAAAATTGCAGAAATAAGTAAACTGTGTAAAAGAAGAGAGATAAGATAAAAGCCTCTGATTGCAACACTATCTGAAAATAATCTTTGACTGTCTCCTCTATAATTTAGTTTAGTTTATTTATTTATAGTGTCGTGGACAGTCCCCATCGATGAACTGTCACAATGGCTCATTTCCAGCTGTTGTCCCCGGCCAGATGGTAATAGACACCCTTAAAATCACAATATATCAACAGCATTAGTTATACAAGAATATAAAATAAAATGGATGAAAGACAGGCGAAAGGATAAGAGAGGATAAAAGAGAACAATAAACAACACACGTTACTACATACAGTACATGTCACATATAGCACATCACAATCACATAACAGAAACGAGGGGCAACATCCATGATCACAACATGTAACACAACATGTAACACTCACGCCATACTCAACACAGACTAGTGTGTGCAGGTGTAGTTCTCAGTGAACCATGTTTTTAAGTGAGCTGTGAAGGTGGTATGTGTATGTACAGTATGTCTTTGATTTGAGTGGGTAGAGAGTTCCAGTTTTGTATAGCTGTGACCGAGAATGATGGCTGACCAAAAGTACTCTTCCTGAATGGGACTGATAGGTCGCCACGTGCGGAGCTTCTAGAGGTCAGTCTGGTGTTGTTACGTTGAGTAAACGATGAGTTAAGAGGTGGAGGGGCTGTATTGTGCAGGACTTTGTACACCAGAATGTTTTTTGACTTGTGTTTTGAATGTTGAATTAGAGTCAATAATGATTCCAAGGTACTTAACCTGAGGCACAACATCAATATGTTCACCTGAGATGCTTATATTTGACACAATGTTGCATTTTCTTTTTGTGAAAAACATTCCGACTGTTTTGTTGACATTAAGCTGAAGACAGGAGCGGTGTAGCCAGCTAGTGATCAGCACTAAAGCTGAGGTCAGTTTATCAGATTTACAGATGGCAGGTCATTCATATAACGTAAAAAGAAGTGGACCAAGTATTGAACCTTGTGGTACTCCGGTGCTTAAGTCTAGAGCTGGAGAGAGTCGATTATTGACGATAACATGCTGACGCCTACCAGTGAGGTATGATTGAATCCAACTGAGTGTTAATTGAGAGCAGTTAAAAGCCGACACCTTATGGTTGACTGTATCAAAAGCTTTGCGTAGATCCAGGAATACTGCACCAACAACACCTCCTTTGTCAACCATTGCTTTGACCTTTTCTATAAAAAAGCAGTTTCGGTTGAATAATTTGCCGTGAAGCCAAACTGCATGGGATGAAGTTGAAATGGACTGTTGTTTAAGAAGGAGACAAGCTGTACTGACACCCACTTCTCAGCCACCTTGGATACTACAGGTAGATGCTATGCTAATTGGGCGGTAGTTGTTGATGTTCCGATGGTCACCTGACTTGAAAATGGGGGTTACAATTGCAGTCTTCCATGCACTTGGGAATGTCCCATGTAATACAGATGAATTGATGATTTGGGTAAGAGGGCAGACTAGGTAATCTTGCAGTGATTTAAGCATTGTAGAATCCATAGTGTGTGTTTCCTTAGCTGTCGAAGTTTTAAGATAATTAATAATTGCTTTGGTTTTTAATTCCGATATGGGTTGAATGCAAAAGGACATCTTACTTTCGTCGACTTTGATAATATGTTCTGCTCTCAAGGGAAAGTTCTATGCAATCTCATCTACAGAGTTGATAACATATTTATTAAAATCTATGGCAAGTTGTTCTGGGCCTTGCACTAGGTTACCATTCTCTTTTAGTTCTAGCTGCTTTTTTGGCCTGTGCTTGATTCCCAGTAAGGTTTTAATATGTTCCCAAATTATTTTAGTGTTACCTTTTGCCTCATTAATTATTGTTATGAAGAAGTTGGCTTTGGCCTTTCTGATTGTTTGAGTTACTTTGTTTGTCACGTAATGAAGTAAACCTATGCCTGTCAGTAGTTAATTTAGCTTTCAGTGCTCTTTTCAGTGCAAAGTCTCTTAGCATATTTGATGACAGTTGAGATGGTCTTTGAAATAAATCATAACCCCACCCCCTCTTCCGTAAGATCGATCTTGTCTAAAGCTTTGATAGCCTGGCACCTGCAATGCGGCGGATGGAGAGTTGGTATGAAGCCATGTTTCTGATAGGCAGAGAAAATCTAAATTGGAATCATGAAGAAGATGATAGACTTGATCAGCTTTAGGTGTGAGGGCATGCTCAAATGTCCTCCAAAGATGCCCTTCGGTTTGTGTTGTTGATCCCTCAACAGTTTTATATTAATTGAACTTGCGGTGTTTTTTGAAAACAGGATTTATGGTCCTGTTGCTTTTGTAAGCATATTGTTGTTTGTCGAACGGACTGACGCGCTGAGTTTGTACCTGAACGCAACATCCAATTTCCGGGTTTGCTTGACAGCACAAGCCGGTCAAGTTAGAAATGCCATGCGGGTCAGAGGACACTTTCTCCATGGCCATCGGGGTATCCTCGATGCTGTGCCCGAACGCAGCAATCCAGTCCCGAACGCAGCAAGCCGGTCCCGGTCCCCGACGCTCCCCGACACTCCCCGACGCTCCCCTCGCCCACAGCCACGGCCCTCGGCGTCCCAGATCTCCGCTCCTCCGCATGGGCAGTTCCACTTCCCAGTCGACACAGCTTAGCCAGTCCGTCTCCGCCACTCCGACAGCAAACGCAAGGCATCACATTAGGTTGGTGCATGTATTCAATCACTGTGCTTGCTCTGTGAGTGTCACGTACCTGAGAGACAGGGTTGTTGCTTTTCGTGACTTCACGGTTGATGTTTCGAGTTGTTGGGCCTGGGCACTGATGTACGTCTCCAGATAGCAACAGGTAGAGTGTGATGATGATACGGCAGTTACTTTGACGTTTGTCTCGGACTTCACTATTTCGCTTAAGGTTATGTTGTTGATGTTGGCCCGCGGTGAGAACAAATGTTTGCATCAGAGCATGTTTCCGTACCCAAAGTGCTTCAATTTGTCTGTGTNTACCTCAGATGGCTGGCATAGGTGGAACAAATAGTGACAACAAATTTAAATAATTGCAATCAATATTATATATATTACCTTTTAATCTATATAAATTGTATTTAAATTTGTTGTCACTATTTGTTCCACCTATGCCAGCCATCTGAGGTATGTTAACTGTGTTAATCTCTTTTAGGTTTCATTTCTTATTTTTGTGAATTTCTATATAAAATGCTGATTTCTACCTGAAATGCTCATGTATTTTTAATTACTTTTTCGTAGAGCTTTACTTTTTCAGCTGAATAAATATTATAACTCTAGATGGTTTTGTTCAGCATTGCCAGCTTCACTGTTGAGCTTTATGTTGTGCCCAGCATTCTCCTGTGCTCTGAAATCAAAATGTGGATAAGCATAAAACAACACTAAAATAAACACTACAATACAACTTGTTATTTGACACACACAAGGTTGTTCATTTGTGTGTATAAATATACAACACAGGCTATATACATATACAAGTAGGCCTATAATTAATACAACTGTTAATTTGATTAGAGCTTTGACACATATATCTTTATTTATATATGTATAAGTATGACAACTTCCTCGGGCGATATCATATGGTATAGCTAATTCATCGGTCAAAACGTGCAAAGTTTGTAAACTCTGGCTTATCCCTGTGTGGTATTATAGTCATAGCAAACAGCAACGTTCAACTCCTTTTAATGGTATATTGCAAGTGCAATAAGAAGCTACAGGGACCTTAATCTACGTCGGTAATATTAACTTTGATTAATACAAAATGTACATCATACTGCCCATGTAGTATAATATTTGATGAATTACAGCAAACATGTGCAATATATCCATTATTACAGCTCCGTGGGCTGGCAGTAAGGTGATATGGGTCCGTTCGTATTGTGCATCCATGGGTAAAGGTAAAACTCATGTAGTGCTGAACACGTCACATCACATGAACGTGCCGGGTGGCGCGGTCCCGTGGTTTAGATGCGCGTTCATAATGCAGAGGGAAATAACTTGCAGAATAACATT